GGGGGACAGTGGGGTGGGGGGGTCAGTGGCAATACCCGTGCTCCTCTGAGTTCAGCACAACAGGGACGCCAGCAGGAAACTCCAGAACTGCGAGCACCAGGCACAGGAGCCACAGGCACATATAGCCAAACAAGAGCTGCAGGTGAGACTGGGCTCCCTGAGACTGTAATGCCATTATGTTTGCAGTACTATTTATTTATTTTTGACAGAGTCTCTCTCTGTCACTGAGGCTAGAGTGCCACCAGGGCTAGAGTGCTGTGGCGTCAGCCGAGCTCACAGCAACCTCAAACTCCTGGGCTTGAGCAATCCTCTTGCCTCAGCCTCCCAAGTAGCTGGAACTACAGGCACCCACCACCATGCCTGGTTAATTTTTCTATTTTTAGTAGAGACAGGATCTCACTCTGGCTCAGGCTGATCTTGAATTCCTGAGCTCAAGCTATCCACCCATCTGGGATTATAGGAACGAGCCACTGTGCTGGCCACAGTACCTTTTCTGTTTAGACATGGACACTTACCACTGTGCTATAGCTGCCCACAGTACTAAAGATTGCCACTTGCGGTCAGGTTTCCAGCCTGAGAGGGACAGGCCACACCATACCGCATGGTCCCCCATGCCCTCCAGGTGTGTGTACGTGCACTCTGCAGTGTCCACACAATGAGGAAGTCTCCCATGTCCCATTTCTCAGATCGCCCCATCAACTGTTGAGTTCCCAGCAGCATATCCCATAGGGCACTGTTGGAGGGCAAAGTGCAAGGAAAGGGGGCAAGCCATGCCTGCATCTTTCCTAAGGGGAAACAGGCAGTTCCTCAGGGAAAGCTAACATTTCCTTGGCATTGGCACCTAGATCTGAAAGAATGTCTCATGTGGGTCTTCCCGTAAGAGCAAAGGATCATGTAGGGCCCGGCAGGCAAACTTCTTCTGTAAAGGGCCAGTCAGCAAATAACTAGGGCTTTGTTAAGCCATACTACTCAACCCCGTGAAAGCAGACACAGATGGTAGTTGTGTCTGACCCACAGTCCTGCTCTGCCCACCACTCCCGTGGAAGATGCTTTTATCAGTACCTAGGTGACAAACACAATAAAAACGTTTCTTACAGCTCCTAGCAGCCCCCTAATCCTTTAGGTGTCCGAGTATGAGCTCAATCTGAACACAAACCCCCACCCACAACTCCTCTCTGGAGTCCACCAGAAGGAGGACTTTAAGGGAACTGCGTGGGCTTAAAGAGCCAGCCCCCTGGGAAGCCCTGTGGCTTAGTGAGTGGGGCGCAGGCCCCATATATCGAGGGTAGTGGGTTAGAGCCCGGCCCCAGCCAAACTGCAACAAAAAAATAGCTGGGCATTGTGGCGGGTGCCTGTAGTCCCAGCTACTTGGGAGGCTGAGGCAAGAGAACTGCAGAATTGCCTAAGCCCAAGAGCTAGAGGTTGCTGTGAGCTCTGATGCCATGGCATTCTACTGAGGGCAACAAAGTGAAACTCTGTCTCTTAAAAAAAAAA